GCTGGTTGCCAGTGGCTATGCCTTATAATCCTAGCTACTCAGGAGGCTGAGATCTGAGAATCAAGGTTCAAAGACAGCTCAGGAAGGAAAAAAAAAGAACTGAAAATAGCTACAGACCCCCAGCATCACCCTACTGGCCCTTTTGTGCCTGGATTTGGGCATCAGACAGGTTTCTTCCTCCTGGGCCCCACCACAGCAAGCACCGTAGATGTAGCTTGGCAGCCTTATGGCTAGCTCTTCTGACAATTAGGTATTGAAAGGCTCAGTAGGTCTAGAAACTGCCCAGATGACCCTCCAATTATGCCCTAGTTGCCTTTAGTAAAATAAATAAATAAATGATATCTCGGGCTGGGAATGTGGTTTAGTGGTAGAGTGCTTGTCTAGCATGCATGAAACCCTGGGTTCAACTCTTTAGTACCACATTAACAGAAAAAGCTGAGAGTAGTGCTATGACTCATTTGGTAGAGTGCTAGCCTTGAGCAAAAGAAGCTCAGGGACAGTGCTCAGGTACTGAATTCAAGCTCCAGGACTGGACAAAAAAAAAAAAAATCTAATGCTGGGTGCCAGTGACTCATGGCTGTAATCTTAGGTACTCAGGAGGCTGAGATCTGAGGATTGTGGTTTGAAAGCAAGCCCAAGCAGGAAAGGCCATTAGACAGTTATCTCCAATTAATGCTCCCCCCTCCAAAAAAAAGGCAGAAGGGGAGCTGTAGCTCAAGTAGCAGAGCACTAACCTTGAACACAAAAAGCTCAGGAACAATGCCCAGCTCCACAGCTCAAGCCCAGGACTGGCAAGCAATAGATAGATAGATAAGTTTAATCTCTTAAGCTCCTGGTCGTGGGGTCTAGAAACTTAGGCAGCAGTGAAGGAAATATGGGGGTGAGTTCATTTTAGAACAATAGGACTTTCATCCTTCTCTATTTTTCCTCATCTGTTTTTCTGCTCTTTCTCTTCTTAAGATTCACAAGCAAACTGGGCGCTGGTGGCTCACGCCTGTAATCCTAGCTACTCAGGAGGCTGAGATCTGAGGATCTTGGTTCAGAGCCAGCCCAGGCAAGAAAGATCGTGAAACTCTCCAATAAACTACCAGAAAAGCAGAAGTGATACTGTGGCTCAAATGGTAGAGCACTAGCCTTGAGCTGAAGAACTGAGGGACAGCACACAGGCCCAGAGTTCAAATCCCACAACCAACAACAACAACAAAAAAAAGAAAAACAGATTCATAAGCAAATGCACCTTTAAAGTTACCTCTTAGAGTTTATTTAAATAAGTTAGTTATTTTATGGTTTGTAGGATTCAGTATTTTTGGAATTCACTGTTCACTGTTAGTGAGGTCTTTATCATCCAAATGGAAAAATACAACCCATATTCATTAAAAAGATATGAAACAGAATTTCATCATTCTCCATGTGATGACTAATATGAAAATAAATATTATTGGGCAGACTGTGAAATTATTCTCTACATCATGGTAGAGGGTTGCTTTGAGTGCTAAATAGATAATCGAGCCACAGTGCTCAATCTATGTAAATTTTTGACAGTGATTTGCAAGTTGCTCCTTTTCTAGCATCACCACAATACTTCATAGTGATACCTTCAAGAAGAAGAGATTTCAAGTTGTAAGCGATTACATTTAGGTAGATAATTTAAAGAAGATGTTTAGGAGCTGGGAAGGTAGCTCAGTGGTAGAGTGCTTGCCTTGCATGCATGAGGCCCTGGGTTCGATTCCTCAGTACCACATAAGCAGAAAAAGCCAGAAGTGGTGTTGTGGCTCAAGTGGTAGAGCACTAGCCTTGAGCTGAAGAGCTGAGGGACAGTGTCCAGGCCCAGAGTTCAGGCCCACGACTAACAAAATTAATAAACAAATAAAGAAGTTGTTCAGCATCAGTAGTTCACACCTGTAGTCCTCACTACACAGGAGGCTTAGGTCTGAGGATCACAGTTTGAAGCCAGCTCTGGCAGGAAAGTCCTTGAGACACTGATCTTCAATGAACCAGCAAAAAAGCCCAAGTGGAGCTGTGGCTCAAGTGATAGAGTGCTAGCTCTAAACAACAACAAAAAAAACTCAGGGCCACTCCCAGGTCTAAGTTCAAGCTCCACAACAGACAAAAAAATAATCCTGAGCAGGACACAGGTTTTCAAAACAGAGTCTTCTGCCACACCTTCAAACATACAGGAGGCACCAGCTTTGAACAGGGAAATGTGAGTCATCTCTTCAGGCCCAAAGGATGCATTGGAAGCTGAGGGGTTAAGACTCAATGCATGTGCCCAGATGTCCTCATTCAAAGCTTCAGCCGCTTACTCCTCCCCAATTCAGCAGAACCAGCTGAAGTTGAGACACAATTTTTTCTAAAACTTTGCTACAATTTGGGGGGTGGGGAGTGCCAGTCTGGGGCTTTAACTCAGGGTTTTTGTTTTGTTTTTTTTGCTCAAGGCCAGTGCTCTATCACTTGAGTCACAACTCTACTTTCTGTTTCTGGGTATGTAATTGGAGATATGAGTCTCATGGACTTTCCTGCCCTGGTTGGCTTCAAAATACAATTCTCAGATCTCAGCCTCCTGAGGAGCTAGGATTATAGGTGTGAGCCATCAGCACCTAGAAACTTTGCTGCTCTTACATTCCTAAGTTATCAGTTGTATTTACCAGAGTGTAACTGTGAGAATCTTCCCAGTTGTGTATATGAGATTTAGACTTCCTTTACACTGGTAAATATCACCCTCAAAGCATTGTTTACCTCCACATCATGGCTAATTCGAACATCCTCTATCTGTCCTTAATTTTTCTCTAACTTCTGAGATTATTTCCTTGCTAAGGCATAATTCCCACTTATATCCAATCCTAGTTTACCACCTGTGAAAAATCTAACATTGAAATTGCATGCCTGGGCAGCAATACTCCATCTGCTGCAGTACCCAGGATGTGTCCATGTCTCCTTCAGACAGACAACCAGGACCAACAAAGAAATCTCATTTTAGAGCTGGTTCCCAGGCTTTATCCAGTGCCAACCATTGTAACTTGTATCTACTGGGAAACAGATTTCTACACACTCGTTGTTAGAGAGGAATGGCAGAAGAGCGCCCCCTTGAGGGTTTATAGAGGAAAGGTTTGGCTAAGAAAAGTGGAACTACACCAGGGTCTCAGCATGCCATGAGCCCTTGGACCTGCACCAGTCACTCTCTCCTTACTGGGACTTGTGCACAAGTCCCTGAGAGAAACAAATTTAAGGAGAAAAAACTTATTTGGGTTCATGATATCAGTCCCTGGTGGTAAGGCTGAACATTGTGGCTGAGAGAAGGTGCAGCACAGCTGCTTTCCTCATGGTAGCCCCGAAGCAGAGAGCTTGACAAGAAGGGAACAGGGCACAGATACTGCTTTCAGACATCTCCAGCAACACACTTTCTCCAACTTGGCCCTACCTTCCACAGTTCTACCACCTCAATTTAGATTTGGAATTCAGCCAGGCACTGATAGTTCACACCTGTAATCTTAGCTCTAACTGAGGAGACTGAGATCTGAGGATAAAAGGTCAAAACCAGTCTGGACAGGAAAGTCCATGAGACTCATCTCTAATTAAACACTCAAAAGCTAATAAGCAGGGATATGGCTCAAGTGGTACAGTGCTAGCTTTGAGCAAAAAATCAGGGACAGCACCATGACCCAGAGTTCCAGCCCAAGGCCAGGCACAAAAAAAGAAATTTGGATTAAAGCCCTGATTAGCTCAGAGTGCTCATGACTGTATCTACTCTGGGAATGCTGTCCCAAACCCAGTAAGAGGCGTATTTTATTAATTTCCTAGGTTCTCACCATCCAATTAGATTAACCAGCACAGGCCTTTCTAGGACATCTTCCTAATTGGGGCAAAGTGGACAAATATTTGTTATCCCCCTCCCCCAAGAACTAGTTATTAACTGGGTGCAGATGGCTCACGATTGCAATCCTAGATATTCAGGAGGCTGATATTTGAGGATCAAGGTTGGAAGCCAGCTCTGGCAGAAAAGTCCATGAGACTTTTATCTCCAATAAACTACTCAGAAAAAGCTGGAAGTGGAGCAGTGACCACCATGGTAGAGCACTAGCCTTGAGCACAAAGAGGCTCAGGGACAGTGCCCAGGCCCTGAGTTCAAGCCCCAGGACTGGCAAAAAAAGACCTAGCTACCATTTCCTAAGAGATGAACATACACTTCATTCAGTGTCTGACTTAGAGTAGCAATGGAAAGCTGAGAGGCATCAGGCAGAAGCTGCTCCACCTGCTAGACGAACCTAGTCCTGAAGGACCCAAGTTGCACAATGAAACATCCTTAGCCACACTACCTATAGCACCTGATTTTATGAGACTTTCCTACACACTAAGGTAGTAACAACTACCTTGAAAGACTTCCAGAAGGGCTAGGAATGTGGCTTAGTGGTAGAGTGCTTGCATAGCATGCATGAATCCCTGCGTTCGATTCCTTAGTGCCACATAAACAAGAAAAAGCCGAAAGTGGCACTGTGGCACAACTGGTACAGTGCTTGACTTGAGCAAAAATAAGCTTAGGGATAGTGCCCAGGCCCTGAGTTCAAGCCCAGGACTGGCCAAAAAAAAAAGACATCCAGAAGAGCCAAAGGAGAAAAATGCAGCCAGGCACTAGTGGCTTATGCGTACAATCCTAACTTACTCAAGAGGCTGAGATCTGCAGATCAGTATTAAAGTTCAGGCGAAACAGGAATGTCCATGAGATGCTTACTTCCATTTAACCACTAAAAAGCCAGAAGTGGAGTTGTGGCTCAAAAGGTAGATGCTAGCCTTCCGCAAAAACATAACAACAACAACAACAAAACCCTCAGGGACAGTCTCCAGGCCCTAAGTTCAAACTCCAAAAGTGGCACTAAAAAAAAAAAGAATAAGGAAACACAAATGCAAGCAATCACCTCACTGTTGGCATGGTTCTTTTCAGCCAACAATTTTGCAGTACTTAACTAGACCAACTTTATCAAAAGATTCACTTTCCACAATCTTACCAACGCCAACATGGTAGGGATCCTAGAGGGATGTCAATTAGCTAGAAAACTGGGCTTTGCATTTCACAATTAAGGAAAAGTATGAACATGTTCTTTCTTTTCTTTTTTTTTTTGGTTGGTCATGGAGCTTGAACTCTGGGTTGGGACACTGTCCCTCAGCTCTTCAGCTCAAGGCAAGCAAGCGCTCTACCATTTGAGCCACAGCGCCACTTATGGTTTTCTGGTGGTTAATTGGAGATGAGTCTCACAGACTTTCCTGCCTGGCTGGCTTTGAACCATGATCCTCAGATTTCAACCTCCTGAGTAGCTAGGATTACAGGCGTGAGCCAGTGGAGCCCGGCTGAACATGTTCTCTCTCTCCCTCCTCACCTCTCTCTCTCCCTCTGTCTCTCTCCCTCTGTCTCTTGTCATTGCTGGTCCTGAGGCTTGAACTCAGGACCTGGGTGCTCTCCCTGAGCTTTCTTGCTCAAGCCTTGTGCTCTACAACTTGAGCTACAACTACACTTACCGCTTTTGTGGTGCCTCATTGGAGATAAGAATCTCACAGACTTTCTTACCTGGGTTGGCTTCAAAATGTGAACCTTCTGAATAGCTAGAAATACAGGCATGAGCCACCAATGAATGTCCTTTCATTCTTTTAATGAGCTCTTCCTTCCTTCCTTCCTTCCTTCCTTTCTTTCTCTTTCTTTCTTTTTTCTGTCAGTTGTAGGGCCTGAACTCTAGGCCCAGGCACTGTCCTTGAGCTCTTCAGCTCAAGGTGAGTGCTCTACCACTTGAGCCACAGCTCCACTTCCCACTTTTTCTGCTTATGTGGTTCTGGAATTGAAACCAGGGACTCATGCATGCAAGACAAGCACTCTACCACTGAGCCACCTGCCCAGTCCCTTAATTTTGTGTATGCCCCTATTTCTTTGCTTTGGCTTTTACTTCCTTCATATGAGTGTTTTGTGTGTTCCACCTACTGATCTCTTGTTAGATATAGCAGATCCCATTTCACATTCTTAGGGCATCATTCCTAGATTTTTTTTTTCTAGTCATGGGGCTTGAACTCTGGTCCTGGGTGTTGTCCCTGAGCTCTTCAGCTCAAAGGGAGCACTCTACCACTTCAGTCACAGTGCCACTTCCTCTAGGCATCACTGAATGAATATGTTCACATTTCTATCTCAACTTCCTAGCTCCCCCTAGCAGGAATGGAAAATGTTGGAGTTAGCATGGTCACCCAATGCATTTTTTAGAACTCCAGCCCAAATTCCAAGAGTCCCTAGTTAGAACTAGCCATTTGCCCCCTTATACTGAATAGACATGGGGAAGCATAGAGAAAGGTCGTTGATTAGGTGGCAGCCATGGGAAGACTAACTTCCAGCACATCTTCAGAATAGTATAAAACATTGGCCACATCCTCCTTCAAACATGTCCTCAGGCCTGGGGTGTATCTAGGGGTGCTGGGGTTTAGCAGCACAGGACAATCTAGGGCTGGCCTGAGAATGACCAGGAGATAATATAGGAAGGTGGAGGCACTGAGAGGTGTCCTTCAAATCTGCGCATGCCCCTTGCTGCATCTGATCCTGCTGTGGCCCCTAAATCAGCCAGGGTTGGCTGACTCCATTGTGATGTCACCCATCCCTGCTGGCTTGGGGGTAAGAGACAGGAGGCTTTTCATTCCAACCAGCCAATGGCGTGGGAGCATCCAGGCCACGCCCACAAGCCTGGTTGCCTAGAGCCACCCTGGATTCCATTCTTCGGGCGCACCCGAAGGTGACCAGCAGGTGGACCAGGGGGACTCAGCCCCCGGTGCTTGTCGGAGCAGCGATCACTGAGTGGTTGGTGGACGACCCGAGTGGGCCCACACCTCCCCTTCCCAGCCCCTGGATGTCTGGAAACAAATCCCTGATCATGGCTAGAGCCAAGGCGCAGCTGCGGGAACACCTAAAGGAGCTGCCCCGGCGGTGTCCGCCCCAGAGCCACCGAGACGAAGACCTGTCAGACCTGCGGGGACCCCGAGACCGCCACGGGGGGGGGGTGCGAGTCCCAAAGGAGCCACCACCCGCTCCGCAGAGCGTCCCAGGGCCCCCCAGCAAGCCGCCGTGCGCAGCGCCCTGGCCGGCGTGCTGCAGGCCGCCTCCCGCACCGCGCGGCTTCTGGATCCTTTCAGCCTTTTGCATGTGGCCACGCGGTGCGGTGCGGTGCGGTGCGGTGCGGAGCCAGCGGCTGGGGCGCGTCCTGCGCGCTCTTCGGGGAGGGAACACGTAGAACTCCGACAGCTGCAGGCGGTAGCAGAGATGTCCCAGCTACTATTCTGGTCCCAGGTGACCCTGAGCCCCCAGGGTTCGGCCCTCGGCCGCAGACGCGCGTGGAGTCCCCGAAGGACTTCGTGCGGATGCAGAGCCTCAGCGCTGCCGCGATGCCCGCGAGGGCGTGTGTGGACGGCAGCCTGCCCGCCCCTGAGCCCGGGGACGAGCTGGTGGCAGTGGCGGTGCCCCCCTAAGAGCCGAGCAGCCCGGAGAGGCAGGCACGGCCGATCCCGCAACCCAGCCCGCACCCTCGCGCGCCACCCTCGCCTGCCCAGAAGCAGCAGCGCGGTCACGGCTGCCACTCGGGCCCGCCCTCCTCCGGCATCTCCCGGCATCACTGTCATGGAGAGGGCCGCCCGCGCCAGGGCCCGGACTCCAGGGAGAGCTCGGACCTGCATTTGTGATTACCAAAGGAGGGGAGGACCCAGGTGTCATACAGGCATGGAGGGGGTGGAATAGATTTACGTAGGCTGTTAAACTAGTGACTTTCATAGGTTCATAACTGTGTGTTATTTATAGAGCCCAATGATACGTGAACCATATCAGCTCCAAAAAGCACTCGCATGACTGTATTAGTGGTGTGACGCTGAACTCGCACGATCTGGGGGTGGCTGACCGCGGGGGTGTGACGATCAGAGGTCACCTGGGGCGGCTGACCACGGGGTGTTGTGTTCAGAGGTCACCGCGGGGAGACGCAGAAGAAAACCTGAAACAAGAAAGAAGGTTCGGGCTGACGGTCTGAGGAGAAGGGCTGGTGGAAGCGAAAAGAATGGAAGACTTACGCTACTTTCGATAGTAATAATCGCTGCAGTAGGTTTGTTTGTTTTGTTGGTCCTGGGGCCTGGGCACTGTCCCTCAGCTCTTCAGCTCAAGGCCAATGCTCTACCACTTGAGCCACAGCGCCACCTCCAGTTTTCTAGTGGTTAATTGGAGATGAGTCTCACGGACTTCACCCCCGGCCTGGCTTTGAACCCCGATCCTCAGATCTCAGTATCCTGAGTAGCTAGGATTCAGGCGTGAGCCACCAGTGCCCAGCGATGACGTAGTTTTATATTATTTATTGGGGATATTCATTGTCACTATTTGGTTGCATATTTACATTTTTACATTGTATATTGTGCATTTACCTATGTGCGTATGTACATTGTATATTTACATTTATATTTACATTTTTTTGCAATGCACTGGATTCTGTATAGAAACAGTAAACTTTTGTTTTTATGTTACAAGAGCCATATATACTAGGCATATTAATACTACAATACAGAATAATACTAAAACAGAACAGAAAATATTAAATCTGAAAATTTGAAGAAAAGGTGGGAAGTGCAAATGGAGATGTACTGCAAGGATACAATGCACACCAAAAATAGCACTTTGGTGAAATCCAAAAATAAAAATGTAATACAGACTTCTAGAGACAATAACTATAGATAGGAAATGTAATTTTCAGTGAAACATGTTGAAATTATATATATGTGTGTGTGTGTCACATATTTTTTGTTCAATAAAATATATACAAGTTCATTTCTCCTGGCTCTTCTTAGCTTAGTAAAGAAGCTATTAGAAAATTTGACATTGCATATGTGACTCTGGTGATCTGCACGCTGTGTCTGGATAGGGCCAGTTCATCCTGCCAGCTCAGGATACAACACTGTTGACAGGAAAGGAAGAATAGGGCCAGGGTCATTCTCCCCACCAGGCCTCACACGGGACAAGATGTGTGGAGGTAAAGAAAAAGATGCATCCACTGTGCAGAAAGAATCCTGCTGCTGCTGCAGAGATAGGAGCAAAGAAGAAAGAATGTTTCCGGGTGCCAGTGGTTCACGCCTGTAATCCTAGCTACTCAGGAGGCTGAGATCTGAGGATCACAGTTTGAAGCCAGCCTGGGCAGAAAAGTCAACATAAGACTGATTTTTTTTTTTTTGGTCAGTTGTGGGGCTTGAACTCTAGGCCTCGGCATTGTCCCTCAGCTCTTTAGCTCAAGGCTAGCACTCTACCACTTGAGCCACAGTGCCACTTCTGGTTTACTAGTAATTAATTGGAGATAAGAGTCTCACAGACTTTCCTGACCAGGCTGGCTTTGAACTGCAATCCTCAGATCTCAGCCTCCTGAGTGCTAAGATCACAGGCATGAGCCACCAGTTCATGGAACACTCATCTCCAGTTAACCACTCAAAAACCGGAAGTGGCACTGTGACTCAAGTGGTAGAGCGCTAGCCTTGAACACAAACAAGCTCAGGGACACCACCTAGGCTCTGAGTTCAAGCCCACAACTGACAAAAAAAAAAGAAGAAAGAATGTAGCTGTGGTTTGAAGATTGGGAGCCACAAGAACCACTAGCTCACAAAAGAAGTTTAAAATGCTGAAGATTAGGTCAGACAAGGGTTTTATCATCCAAGGGTTTTATCTTGTGTTTATCATCCATGAATGAAGTAAACAAGTTAGGAGGCAGATTGTGTGTGTGTGTGTGTGTGTGTGTGTGTGTGGTTTGTACCTGTCCTTGGCCTTAAACTCATGAGCTACTTGCTGTTTCTGAGCTTTTTTGCTCACGTTGACTTGAGTCACAGCTTTACCTTCAGCTTTTTGCTAGTTAATTGGAAATGTGTCTCATAGGCTTTTCCTGCCAGGAGTGGCCTCGAACCCATTATCCTCAAATCTGAATTGCCTTAGTATCTAGAATTACAAAGTGAACCACAGGCACCGAAGTGATTTATGTGT